CTCTTCCACGATTTCAATCTCACTGAGGTCTACTTATGGACAAAACTTTTGCCCATTTATTTAATACCGGATTAGAGATAGGCGCGGGTACCATTTTCGTACCTGTACCTGACCCGAAAATGTTTCTTCCACCTGTACCCGACTCGATCCGACGACTTTGTACCCGTACCCGATTTATGCCTAGAAATTTTCTCCTTTTTGTTTTCCAGCTAAAAACTTTTGTTTTCGGCTGAAGATGTCAAATTCTCATTACGTTCTCAAGTAACTTTTAAATCTTTCTTTTTAAATCTTCAAGTATTTTAGCTAAACTCCAGAGTTTTTTCATTAAAATTTTGTAGGTTTTTCCACTAGAACCTTCCAGCTTTCCGGTAAATTAAAAAAGAATAGAACCCGTACCCGGCAACTTCGTACCCGTACCCAACCTTGGGGTCAGGTTGCATATCTGTATACCGGATAGTTTTTACTCATATACGAAAGCCATTTCGAAAACGCAGCCGAACTGAACTCGAACGCAGTAATATCTCAAATGAAATAATTGATTGAATTATATTTCTTTCTTAAAAATGTGATGCAGTCGGGAGAGATGAAATGAGTTTTGTTTGATTGTTTTGTCTTGTATTGCGATGCATAACCGGATGAATGGAAAAGAAAGAAAGGAAAATATCGAAGAGAAGATATCGAAAAAGAAAAATCTCGAAAGTTAAATTGTACAGATAGTACAATTACAGTACAATGTGGATCTTTGTATCGATCATATTTGGTTTTACTGATCGTCTTATGCAATTTAAAGACGAAATTGCTTATATTCAACAGTTTTTTCGTCTTTGCGAAATAAGCAATGAAATATAATTATGAGACGTAGTCATCATATCTAAAATAACAGAGGATCAATCATTGAATCCTCAGTTATTAATTGGTCGATTCTTGGTCGGAATCCGATTAGTGCAATGACTATAAATAATACATTAATGAGAAACAAATTTAGTGATAATCAATAATTAGCAGTTACACCTAAATATAGATAGATACATGTGTATCACTCGACTGATTGACACATTTAACGGTACAAACCAATTAAAACATGGATGTCTTAACCATTGTATTATAGCGATCTATCGTGACTACTCATTCTTTCTCTTTCGATATTTTCCTTTCTTCCTTCTTCCATCGTATCGAATAACCGTCTGTATTCATGTGAGATTAGTATTAGCATTGAAAAGACTCTTGATACTTCAATTAACATTAAAAAAATTTGTTTTAATATACAATTGTATTAATCAGAATTAA